CCCCTCAAGCCCCACCCCTGCATACCACACTCACCTTTTCCCACTCTTTCCGGATCCAGAGTGCGAACGGCCACTGTTTTGTTCACTCTGATACCTTCGGGCTGCGCGTCGTTGGGGGAGGGGCAGGGATGGGGGTGGGGTCAGACAGAGGAGGTAGCTGAGTGAATGGTCCACACACAGGCAAGTGGTTGGCAGTTTTGCTCTGAGGACTGTTCCACCCCTGGCCCGCCTGCCTCTGCTGTGTGGCTGTGAACCAGACGTAACCACCCTGTGTCTTGCCTTTGCAGTACAGATCTCAGAGAGATTGTGGATTGGACTCTAGACCACTACACTCAAACGAGTAATTACCACCAAGCCGCTGGCACCTAGAGGAGCCCTGGTGGTGGAGTGGTTACGCAGTGGGCTGCTAACCACAAGGTCAGCGGTTTGAAACCACCGGTTGCCCCTCTGTAGATAGATGAGGTTTTCTACCCCTGGAAAGAATGAGTCTCACAAACCCACAGGAGCAGTTCTACTCTGACCTATAGAGTCACGAGGAGTCGGAAGCGATCCAATAGCAGTGAGTTTGGGCTTGTTGGGTTTTGTTTGTTTGTTTGTGGGGATGCTGAACAACAGTTTCCAGACCAGGGCAGACTAAGAAGAAATGCCTGGTGATCAACTTCTTTAAAAAAAAAAAAAAAGTCAGCCAGTGAAAAACAGACAGGGCTCAGCAGCTTGGTCTGTAACAGATGACCAAGGTGGTGAGGGCCAGGCAGCATTTCCTACCATGGTACACAGGCTGGGGGGCAAGGGGAAGACCATGAATTGGTGTGTGTGTTGGGGGGGGGCCTGTACTACTTGACAGCAGCCCAGGACAACATCCACAACCACAAAATATCCCTGAGATGAGGGCTCGAGTCATGTCTATCCCCTAACCCCAGGCTTGCTTCTGAAGTCCCTGAGCTGGGCACAGGGGCTGGTAGTGTCTCAGAGTCCAGGGGCCTCCACCCTGGAATGCCCAGACAGAAAAGAGGAGCCTTCCAGGCAGGCCCTGGGCAGCAGGCTTCTCCAAAGACTCACCACCACCTTCAGGATCTTCTTGACACCGTCGCTGACAAACTGGTTGAAGACGGCCGCCTTGACCTCCACCTCCTGGAACCCGATCTTCAGGGGGACAATGACGAAGGGGATGGACACGGAGGACTCCTCCTGGATCTCCAGCACCTGCTGGTGGCGCTTCTTGGCAGTGGCCAGGCTGCAGAAGGCTGGATTGTACAGCAATTCCACGCGTACCTTCCAGGGGCAAGAGGGGCTCAGGTAAGGGGCCTGCGTGCCCTGTTAGGCCACCCCCAGCCTCCGGGCCCCTGCCCCCTTGGGAACCCACCTTGATCTTATTCTTCTGGTAGTTGTAGAGGACGGCCCGGATCTCCACTTGCTCATTCCGGACCACCGAGTAGGGGAGCCGCAGGTCAATGAAGAAGTCCTGCATCACCCGGACCTCATAGGGCTTGGCCACACAGATCCCTACCCGGGTGGGGACCAAGCACAGTGGTCAGGGGCAGCGGGAGGGAGGGAGGGCGGCTGGACAGGGCCTGCTTTCTGGCCCAAGTCCCTGCTCTTCCGACAGCCTCAGTTTCCCTGTTAACCCACTGCCAGCAAGTGGGTTCAGACTCACAGCGACCCTATAAGTCAGAGTAGAACTGTCCCTGTGGGTTTCCGAGACCGTCAATCTTGACAGGAGCAGAAAGCCTCATCTTTCCCCTGCAGGACGGCTGGTGGGTTCACACTGCTGACCTTGTGGTTAGCAGCCTGCTATATCACCAGGGTGCCTTTGAAGTCCCATTAAGTAGACTATGACTCCACCTAGTGTGTGTGAAGGGAACAGCGGCCCGTGTAGCCTTCAAGCCTGTGACCTACTTGGAGTAGACGGCCAGGCCTTTCTTCCTGGTCTATAAGTTCCACTGAAACCTGTCCACCTTGGCTGACCTCGCTGGTCCTGGACATCCAGTGCCACCCGTCCCGGCATCACAGCAACACGCATGCCACTACAGGACGACGCACTGAGTTGTCGCTGTCTAATTGATTCCGGCTCGTGGCTCTCCTGTGAGTGTGCAGCGTAGAGCCGGGCTCAGTCCATGACGTTCTCCAGGCTCCGACCTTTTCGGAAGCAGATCACCAGACCTTGCTTTGGAAGTACCTCTGGGCAGGGGGCGGGGGGTGGGTTTGGCTCGAACCACCAGTCTTTGGGCTAACTGCTCTTGTCAGGTGCCTCTGAATCTGCTCCGATCCGTAGTGACCCCAAAAATGGCAGTAGGAAATGCTGCCCGGTCCTGTGCCAACTTCACAGTCATTGGCTTTGAGCCCGTGGTTGCCGCCGCGGTGTCAAGCCATCTCCTTGAGGGGCCGCCTCTTTTCCGATGACCCTCGGTTTTACCAAGCACGATGGCCTTCTCTAACGGTCAGCCTTTCCTGGTGACCTGTCCGAAGGCTCTCTACCTTCCTTTCTGAAGCGCTGGCTGGTTCCGTCTCTTCTGTGCTTGGTCAGGGTGCCGTCCGCACAGATGACGGTGACATTGGGCAGTTGCTCCACACTGTCCTTGCAGTTGGATTCCTACACCCATGTGTAGCCGGGGAAGAAGGCCTGTGTCACTTCTGGTTGTGAAGGGCCATCGAGCCAGTTCTGCTGGACCTGATGGGTCACAGAAGGACACACCGCCCGCTCCCGCGCCATCCTAACACCCGCCCTTCCGGTGGCGCCCGTGGTCACATCCACGGTGCCAATCCATCTCGCCTAGGGGAGGGTCTTCCCCTTTGCCACTGCCCTCAACTTGACTGAGCATGCTGTCCTCCTCCGGGGACTGGTCTCTCCTGATAATGTTGCCAAAGTACGTGAGACGAGTCTCCCCATCCTCACTTTAAAGAGCATGCTGCCGGACGTCTGTCTTCCAAGACAAACCCATTTGTCCTCCTGGAGGTCCCAGGGACTTTGAATAGTCTTCGCCAGTCCCGTCATTCCAATGCATCAGTTCCTCCTCCATCTTCCTCATGCTTTGCCCGGTTTCCCGCGCGCAGAGGGGAGATCGAAAATAACCTTGGCTCGTGTGTACTCTGCTCCTCCTAGTGCAGTGCCTGATCTTCAGGTCCTGGGCAGCAGATGGGAGTTCCTAACCGCGGCTGCCCAGGACCGTGGGCCTGGGTGACCAGAGGATCTGTAGCCGCACTATCCAGGGACCTTCTGGATGGCCGTTGCGCAGGAGAAACACGTTGCTGTCGTTAGGGGCCATCAAGTCAGTCCCACCCTATAGCGAGTGACCCTCTGCAGGACAGAAGGAAGCCCTGCCCGGCCCCGTGTCTTCCTCACAAGCGTTCCGCTGCCTGAGCCCACCGTTGCAGCCACTGTGTTCATCCCTTTCCTTGAAGGCTTCCCCCTTTTCCCCTTTGACAGCCGTCCGAGACGCCGTCGGGCGGCTCAAGGATGCACCGACCAATAACGCGCTGATTGGGAGCCTCGGGTGGCACGAGCACTGGACGGGCTCAGCTGCTGGCCAGAAGGTTGCAGGTTCAAGCCCACCCCAAGGTGCCTCAAGGGACAAAGAAAAGACCCGGTAATCTACTTGCGCAGTCTCCACCACTGAAAACCGTGCAGGCGAGCCCCGTTCGCCTCTGCACACATGGGGTGTCCACAAGAGTCAAGGGTGATTGCTGACTGTGTGGCAACGACAATGATCCTCTGCATACAACGAATGATGCCTAGCCCCCCCCCCTCCCCATAGCCAGGGCTCAGGATGTAAGCCACCCAGAAAATCCGGAGCCGCCCCCCACCGCACCCCCAGGCCCTTGTCCCAAGAATGGCCACCACCTCCTCTCACCTTTCTTATCGGACATGCTCACGGCCTGAATCTCCCATGTGGTGATGGAGTCTTTCAGAAAGATGTTCATGTTCTTGGTGGAGATTCTGGGTGGGAATGGGGGAGGCTGAAGGCATCAGGGGGTGGGGGAGGAGGGGCGGCCCAGGTAGGAAGCCCGGCTCCTGGCGCCCCACCTGGTACAGAGCGGAACTGCTCCAGAGGATTTTGTCGGAAGGATGGCTGCGTTAAGCACTCAACTACTAACGGAAACGGAGGTGGTTCGAGCCCACCCAGAGGCAGCTGGTCTGGAAGCTGCTTCTGAAAGGTCGCAGCCTTGGAAACACCCCTCTCCTCCCAGCAGTGGCTCCCGCTCCTGCCCCCCCCACCCACACACACACACAGGGTAGCCAGGTGTCAGAATTAACATGTTGATGACTAATGGTAACAACAACCTTAACTGAGGCAAGTCACCACGACGCTCTTCGCTGGAGCGCTAAGTGGATTTGAACCTGTCACCTGACGGTTATCAGCTGAGCACAAACCTGCCGTACTCCCCAGAGGCCAAGGGAAGGGAAGTGACGGGGCCTGGTGATGCAGGTAAATTAAATGGTGGGGTTTTCCATGGCTGGGGTGGGGACCCAAGCAGGGCTGGGGAGTTTCCGGACATACCCGTTTTTCCCTGGCTCTTTGAGATCCTCTGTGACCCACAGCCAGCTCTCAGGGAATTGGGTCCTGGACGTGATGTCTTCTTCTGGGATTATGTCTTCATCCAGCTCACCTGGTGGCGGGGTGGAGGTGAAGGTGGGGGAGGTCAGGGCAGATCTGCCCCCACCCCAGTCCCACTGAGCTACCGCTACAGCCCAGGAAAGAGTCTTAGCCACAAAACCCACCCAGCACCCCATTAGGACTTCCGTGAACTCCTACACTTTGTTGATCTTGGATGTTCCCCTGTCATGGATTTAGTTGTGGCCCCGCCCCCGCAAACAAAAAGTGTGTCAACTTGGCTGGGACTTGACGCTCAGTCTGATGTGATTATCCTCCCTTTTGAGCACTGACGTAATTATCCTCTGTGGTCCATCCTCCCTGCTGTGGTGGTAACCCAGGCCCAATTAGAGGCAGTTATGCTAATGAAGCAGCATCCCATCTACAAGGTTTTAGGCTGGATCTTGAATCAACAACCTCTTTCAGGATTCAGAAGAAATCAAGCCAGCAGAGGTCTGAGGGACCCTGAGCACTTACTACCAAGAAAGGGCATATCCATTGGACCCAGAGCCCCAGTGCTGAGAACCGCCTAGACCGAGGAAAGACTGATGCCCAAACACAGGGGGATCTCCAGGGAATGCCAGGCCCATGTCCATTGACGGGAGACAAGGACTTCCCCCAGACTCCACAGTAAGAGAGAGAGCCTTGCCCTAGAGCTGATGCCCTGAATTCAGGCTTGTCACTTTCTAAACGGTGACATCATACCCTGTAACACCATTCACTTATGGATTTTCTGCTATAACAGCACGAGAGAACTCAGACACTCGTTCCTCTTTTAAAAAAAACACAAAAAACTTATACAAGTAAAACTTATGTTTCATGGCTTCATGTGTATAAAGATTAATAAAATTCCAGTTGGTTTGTATTCACTTTGTGTCCTTCCATGTCAAAGAAATAGGAACATTTTTACGGGTCTTTCATGGGCCCAGGGCCTTATATTTGCTGTCCTCAAGAGGTATGTTAACCATGTAGGTTGAGAGTATCCCCAGACTTGATGGGGGCCACTGAAGATGGGGCGGCCTCTAGAACCATTGTATCACAATTAGCAAGCATTAGATTAAATTTCGACTCTCCAGGCGGCAGGTTGGCATCCTAACCCCTGCGCCTGTGGTTGTACTCGTTTGGGCCTGAGGTTTTCTTTGATTTGTGAAATGAGGCTCTCTCTGTGTAGTCTGGGTCCTAAACCTCATCGCTTCTGAGTGACAAGGAGCTGCAGAGACCTGGGGACAGGCAGGCACACTCAAGGGAAGACAGGCTACCCGATGGAAGGCAGGTAGGAGAACCTACAAGCCCAGGGCTGTGAGCCACTAGAGGCTGGACTGGAGTTCCTGGGTGAGTGGGTGTTCACACACGAGGCTGCTAGCCCAACGATTCCAGGGTCAAGCCCACCTCGGAAGAAAGGCCTGGCAATCTACTTCTCCAAAATCAGCCATTGCAATCCCTGGGGGCCTCGCAATGCCCAGACTCATGTGGGGTCACCATGAGGCAGGATGGACCTGTGGAGAACTGGTTTAGATAGATGATAGAAAGACAGATGATAGATGCTGATAGAGATGAAGGCTCTTCCCCTAGAGCCACATGCTGAATTCTGACTTTGGCTGCCTAAACTAGGAGTCCTGGTGGTTATCCACACAGTCGGCAGTTCGAAACCAGCAGCAGCTCTGAGGGAGAAAGACTAGGCTGTCTAGGCCCATAAACAGTTACAATCTCAGAAGCCCACAGGGGGTCACGATGAGTCCGTCTTGATTCGGCGGAAGTGAGTTTGAGCTGTTTAAATTGAGCTAAAAAGAAGGAGATGGTCGGCAAGATGGATGGACCCAGCGGATGGATGGACACAGCGGCTCATCAATGGGCTCGAACGTCAGAGCAATAGTGAGGATGGCACGCGACCAGGCGGTGTTTCACTTGTTTGTACAGAAGGTCGTGCTTAAGTCGGTTCGGAGCTGACTCAACGGCATCTGACAGCAGCAAACTGTGAGAAACTCCATACCTGTTCCTAAAAGCCACCCCCTTGTGGTGTCTCTGTTACAGTAGCTCTAAGAAACGAAGACAGCAAGAAAACCAGATTGGACTGGAATCGAATTCAACCCTGGCTGGGCTTTTGAAAACGTCTAATCAAAAAAATAATTAACGAGACTGTGTGTTCGTAACAGAATGAAAACAAAACACACCCCCTGCTGTGGGGTCCATTCCACCTCCTCGCCACCCTCTAGGGCAGAGAAGGACTGCTCCCTGGGGTTTCTGAGACGATCTTTGGGGGAGCAGCCAGCCTCATCTTTCTCGGCCAGAGCGGTGAGTGGGTTGGAACCCCTGACGCAGCAGCCCATAACGGAATGGCCCACATCTCCCGCAGGACTCTCTTCCTCTGTGGAATTTCGCCTCCTTTGTTATTTGTTGCCATAACAAGGAAGGGGGTGGAATTCCACGGATGCTAAAATCCACCCGGGCTCTGAGGGAAGCCATCCCTGGGTTAGCAGTCCCAGGGGCACTACCCAGAGCTGGCACCCTCCCACAGGCCTACAAACACGTCCCAGGAGCTTAGCTGTTTTGTTGGCTGTGGCAGGCTCGCTCTCCTTTGCTGAAGAAAGTCTCAGGGCTGCATCCCTGGGGCAGGGACTGTGGGGCCTGCCTAGGTAGCCCATCACTCACAGGAAGGTTGAATGTAAAACTCCTTCAAGCTCTTTGTTCTTGCAAAGAAGACTATGATCCTCAAAAGGGGACCAACAGGTAGTAATAGCATGACAAAGGGAGAAGAGAATTAAATCATCAAGGACTTGTCTTGCTTGGGTCCACAATCAATGCTCAGGGAAAGCAGCAGCCAAGAGGTCTACAGACATTGCATTAGGTCAATCTGCCGCACAAGACCGCTTTAAAGCGTTGAAAAGCAAGGATGTTCCTTTGAGGACTGAGATGCTCCTGACTGGCTGATGCCAGGGTTTTGTTTTTCTTTTCCAGTGGCCTCATCTGCATGTGAATAAGGAGGATGGAGGAAGACTCCGTGCATTTGAACGTGGTGCTGGCCAAGACTATTAAAAGTACCATGGGCTGCCAGAAGGACAGACAGGTCTATCTTGGAAGTACAACCAGCATGTCCCTTTGAAGCAAGGATAGCAAGACTTGGTCTCACCTTCTTGGGGTGTTAGCGGGAGAGATGAGGCCCTGGAGAAGGGCTTCGTGCCTGGGCGGGGAGAAAGGGTGACAGAGGATGATGTAAGTATGAGAATAATAAAGTATAATTTATCCAGGGTTCATGAAGGAGGGAGAGGGGGAAGATGAGGATCTCAAGGGCTCAAAGTAGAAAGAAAATGCTTTGAAAATGATGATGGCAGCATATGTACAAGTGTGCTTGATACAATGGACGGATGGATAGATTGTGAGAAGAGCTGTAAGAGCCCCCAATAAAAGTAGTTCATTAAAAAAAAAAAAAAGAAGGCTCTCAATGAGATGGACGGGCACCCGATGCATAACGACACCGCCAGGCCTGCCGAAAGACCTGTCTCACCTTGAGATCGATTGCCGGGTGTGGACAAAAAGGAGTGGCTGACAACACTGGGGCTCAGCGCCCCTCAGCAAGTGGCAGTTATGCCTCAGGTCCTTCTGTAAATGCCACGTGAGGACAGGATGTCTTCCCCCCTTAGACCAGAAGCATCCATCCCACCCACCCAGAGAGGGCAGTCTCCTGCTCAGTCAGGGACACCTCCCCCTTACAGAAGGGGCCTCCTATCCATATAGGGACATCCTTGCCCCCCCCCTTCCCCGGCCAACCTCAGACAGTGTGTCCTCCTCTCTCAGGGACACCCTCCTCCTGGAACCCCCTCCCTGGCTCAGAAACAGACACTCTTCCCCCTGAGACAGGGATGTCCTCCTCTTTCAGACAGGACCTTCTCCTTGTTAGATAGGGAGGTCCTCTCCCCACCCCAGGCAGGTGTGTCCTACCCCCTCAGACGGGTGTCCTCCCTCAGACAGAGGGGTATCCTCCTTCCTCAGACAGGGTGCCCTGCTCCTTTAGTGTAGTCCTCCCCCCTCAGACAGGGATGTCCTCCCCCTTCAGACAGGGATACTTCATCCTACCCCCCTCCCCACCTCAGAGACAATCTCCTCTCTCAGATAAGAGCCTCCTCCCACATCAGAGAGAGATTCCATCCCAGCACCTCAGACAGGGCCTCCTCCCCCTTGAGACAGGAACCTCCTCCTCCTCAGACAAGAACCCCTCTCAGGGTCAGGGCTGTCCTCCCCGCTCAGCCCCAGCCTCGGGCCCCTGCAGTCCCACTCACTCCTGGCCAGGTCCAGGGGGTTGTCCCTCCTGAGCTCGCTCCGCAGCTTGGCGATGTAGAGGCAGCAGTCCAGGAAGGCCTTGATGCACGACTCGCCCAGGACGTACTGGCTCCGGTGCTCGCACGAGAATCCCATGGGGTTCTCCCGCATGCCCCCTTCACAGCACTTGCGCAGCTCCTTGTCCTGGTACTGGCCCGCTGTGGGAGCCCATTAGACCCTCAGCCACAGGGCCTTGAAGCAGGAGGCACTCGGGGTAGACCCCAGGGAGAACTTCCCCAGGGTCAGGTGCTCCCCGCCTCCCTCGCTTGCTCCTACAAGGGGACCTGGGCCGGGTTCTGGGGCGCGGGGCGGGGCGTGGGCTCCCACCTTTGTCAGTCCTCTTCTCCATCAGCTGCACGGAGCGGCGGCGGCGGGTGGCTGGCTTCGGGCACTCGGGGTCTGAGGGGGCAGGAGGAGAGGGGCCGTGGTAGGTTAAGTGCCCACTGTGTGGCCTTGAGAAGCCCTGGTGCTATCGCGGTTGCACACTGGGCTGCTTATTGCAAGGTCAGCCACTCTGCGGGAGAAAGAGCTTTGTACTTACTCCCCTCAAGAGCTACAGTCTGGGAAACCCATAGGGGCAGGTCTAGCCCGTCCTGTGGGGTCACTATGGGTCGGCATTGGCTCGCTGGCAGTGAGGGGTTTTACTGTTTTCTTTTCTGGTTTCGGTGTGACCTCGGCTCTTTCCTTAGAGCAACAGGAAGTTCAGGCTGCCATGGCTCCCATTAACCAGATGGCAAAACTGAGGCTCGGAGAGAAGCAGTTCGCTAGTTGGTGGTAGAGGGAGGATTTAAATCCTGGTCCCCTGACTCCAGAGTCCTGCTCCTAACCACTGGGATGCACTGCCCCGAGGGTGTAGGGTAGAGGCACTGTCCCTTCCTGGACTGGACACTAGCTGCACCGTCACCTGTCCTGTCGATGGTCTGCAGGCCCTTGCTGGTCTGAAGGGCCAGGCCCGCATCCTTGAAGACGCCAGCAAAGTCCTTTCCGCTGCCTGGTGTGCAGCCAATATCTGCCTTCTCCACCACGTCCCAGATCTGTCGGGGAGAGGGGGCCAAGGACCGGGGTTGCTCAGCCCGGCAGTGCCTCCTCCAGGTCACCAAGATGCCTATGTGCCTCGCCCCAACCACATTCCCTAGTCCACCTAGTCCTTTCCCTGAGCACCCCTGTCCCCTGGGTACCCCAGCCCACCTTCTCCTCCCCCCACACCTTTCCCATGCCTATCCCTACCTATCCCCACCATCACCTACACCCTATCCCTGCCCTAATCTCCCCTCCCCGCCCAGCCCACCAGTCCCCCTTACCCAGCTCCATCTCCAACTCCATTATATCATCATTCCTAATTCTAGCCCCAGCCCCACCTCCAACCCAATGCCACCCTGAACTCCCCTCTCAACTCTTCTCCAACCCATCCTTCTCTCTGATCGCAATCCATCCATCATTCCCCACTCTGTTCCCATGCCCATCACCTCCATTCTCAACCCCATGGCCATCTGCATCCCCAGGCCAACGTCCACCCCATTCCTCACCCCATCTCCATTCTCCCTCCCACCTCATTGTCATCCCCATCTTCATTGCAACACACTGTCCAACCCCACATCCACCCTCCTCCCCAATCCTGAGCTCCCTCCCAGGCCCAGGCTTCCACACTGGGCGGCTCCAAAGCTGGCAGCGACTGGACCCTTGGAGCTGGGCAGTAAGGTGAAACTGCCCATTCCTCTGGCCATGGCGTTGTTGGGTGATGTCGGGTCACTTACAACTGGTAGTGGCCCTACAGTCAATGGAACGAAACACTGCCCGGTCCTACGCCATCCCCTGGTCATCCCTGCCTGTAGCCCTGGTCCATTTACAGTTTCCGCCTCCACCTCCACCCATCTCCGTAGCCACACCCTTCCTAAGCTCTGCTTCAACTCACTCCTTCCTCATCCATGCCAATCTCCACTGCAATCATCCCACGTTCCTGTCCATTCTAATCTCTATTTCTTGTCCTTTCTAATGTCTGCTACCGGCCCACACTTAGCCCCAGCCTGGCCCTTCGCTGTGTGCCCCAGCTCAGCCCCAGCCTTTGGCCCTTCCATCTTCTACCAGACCCTAGCTCAAGGCCGGTGCTTACCTTGCTCTGAGTCAGCTTGTTCTTCTTGTTTAGCACGAAGACACCCTTGTCCACAGCCACCAGCCCGACTCGGCTTCCTTGGTCACCTTCTATCTTAAGGGACATCTGCTGTCCTGGCAAATACGTCCTCTCATCCTTCCCTCCACCTTTGACCACCAGCTGAAGGGAGGACAGGGGTGTGAGGGGGGAGTTCACCCTCCGAGGCCCCAGTCCTGGGCAGTCAAGGTCAGTGGCGGTCCTGAGCTGGACCAAAGGAGAGAGAAAGGAGGGGTCTGGGAGAAGAGAGATAGACCGACTGATGACAGAGGTGGGAGCCAGACAGGAAGTCAGAGAAAACCTGGGGTGCAGAGATGCCCTGGGGCTGAAGTCCGGAGGGAAGAGGAGACAAAATGGACAGGAGGAAGAGGGAGGTGCCTTCTAGAGGAGAACCCCATTGTGCTAGCAGATGCCCCTCCATGCAAATGAAGCAACCCCCTTCTATGCAAATAAACAGCCGCTCCACGCAAATAAGGAGCTACATGTTGGGCTGCTAACTCACCAGCCAAGAAAGATGGAACTTTGTACTCCTATAAAGGGTCGCTGTGAGTCAGCATCAATTCGATGGCAGTGAGTTTAGTGTTGAGCGTTGGTGGCAAAGTGGTAATGCATTGGGCTGCCCACCACAGGGTCAACAGTTCGAAACCACCAGCAGCTCCCCAGGAGAGAGCTGAGCCTTTCTACTCTCATGAAGAATTATAGTCTTGGGAAACCCACCGGGGCGGTTGCTATGAGTTGGCATTGACCCCAGTGAGTTGGGTTTGGGTTTGGGGGTTCCATGCAAACAGAGAACATCTGCATGCAAATGCAAGAAAAAACCAAAACCCTCATGCAAAGGGGAACCTGTCCATGCAAATGAACACATCCTCATGTGGATGACAGGACCCCTCCACGCACAAGAGAAATGGCCCTCCCTGCTAACAGGATGCCTCTATGCAAACCGACAAGGGGCAGAGAGCTGACTCAGGGGGTGGGGTGGGGGGGGGCGGAGCTGGAGGGAGGCAAGGCGGAGAAGGCAGTGAAGAGGCTGCCATCCTCCAACGTATGTACGGGGAGAGACCCCGGCAGCTCACCGTGCCCATACAGGAGTCTTTGACGTCCACCCACACCGAGTCGGCCACGATCTCCCTCTGGCCATTGGTGCCCATCATCGTGTAGTAAGCCACCAGGCGGAAGGAGGGGATGAAGTCCGTGGTAATGGTCAGCGGGAGCACCACCAGGTCCTGGCCAGGTGCCCGTGCCTGGCGTCCTGCCTTCAGCAGCTTCCCCTTGTTCATGACCTGGGGAGACATGGAGGAGGGAGGAGTCAGGGAGTGGGGTGGCGGGGAGAGCCCTGGCGGGGCTGGAGGGGCAAGGAGGAGGGGGGCAGCAGGTGGCACGGACCAGGTAGGTGTAGTACTGGATATTCTTCTGCACGTTGGGGTCTGCTCGCAGGTGGAAGTTGACGTTGAGGGTCTCGCCTGGCTTGAGCTCGAAGCGGGGCACAGACAGGTGCAGGAAGTTGTTGGAGTTCGCCATGGTGCTGTAGGGGAGGGCCTGCATGGTCCTGGAGGCCTGCCGGCCCTCAGGGATGTTGTCCTTGTTTGTTCGCACCTGGGTGGGGACAGGTGTGTTAATAATGGCCCCAGAGGGCCCACAGCCACGTCCCAGGAACCTGGCCCAAGGCTAGTTGGAGATCAGGATGTTAAGAGTGGAAGCAAGTGGACAGCAGCCAGTTTGGTTATTTGTTTGTTTGGTTTGTGTCTGGGAGGGGCAGGGGGCAGTGGCAGAATTCTTGCTTTCCATGCAGGAGACCCGTTCATTCCTAGCCAGTAGCTCTCAAGCACGGCCACACCCCTCATCTGCCAGTGGAGGCTGATGTGTTGCCAGGATATGGTGGCAGTTAGATTTTATGTCAACTTGCCCCTGTGTGAAAGTGTAGAGGGTGGAGTCCGGCGGACCAATCAGGTAGCAGCCTGGTGATGCCTTCTTGGGGATGTGGTCTTTTATAAGGGAACCTCGCCTCTCTCGGCCCCTTCCTGCTTGCTGGCACTCTGTGCCACATGGGGCCACCCGACCCTGAGAACTGTCAGCACCCTTCCATGTTCCCAGCAACTTTGGATCCATGCCACTGCACCCACCAGCTTGTGCTATCCCCGCATCCCGCTTTTCTCTGTGTCCTTGGTCTCGGGTCTGAAGCGGGTCCTGGTACCTGACATATTGGACCTGGGGAATGGTCTGGGCTGGGACGCCTTCTCTTACACATAAAACCATAAAACTTCTTCTTGCTATAAAGTTCTCATATAGGAGTATTGCTGGTTTTGCTTCTCCAGACAACCCGGCCTAACACAGACACTGAACGGGTTTCCCTGAGACTTTCAGGCAACAACAGACCAGGAAGAAAGGCCTGGCGAGCTGTTTCCCAAAATTGGCCAGTGAAAACGCATTAGACCAACAGAAGTTTGACCCCCCAGCTGGTCATGGGATTGGCACAGGACCAGGCAGGGCCTCTTTCCATGGGACCAGTTGAGTCAAGGTTAAGTCCATTACAGCAACAGCAAGGGCGAGTCAAAGAAGAATGCTGGAAGCACAGGTGGGAGAAAGAGCAGATGATGCCACACAGCTTGCTGGGAAGGTGGAGGAGGAAGTCATCAGCCAAGGGCTGGAGCGGCCTGTAGAAGCTGGGAAAGGTGCCTGAGCCATGTCCCCTCCCAGTGGGGTGCCACACAGCCAGGCCACAAGAGCCAGGAGAACTGAGCCCTCTGTGCGAATGCATATGTTGCAGGGCCCCAGCAAGATCCAGGGTCCGTGTGTGTGTGTGTGTGTGTGTGCGCGCGCATGCGCGCGTGTCCGGGGGATAAACACATGCAGAAGAGGCCCATCCATGGCAGGCCGGTGACAGACCCCACTGCAGAAATGGCAGGGGCCCTCTATGCAAATGGAGACCCCTCTCTGTCCAGAAAGAGGACCCTCACCGGACAAAGGAGCCCCCCTCCTATGCAAACCAGACCCCACTGTGCAAAGAAGGGGCTGCTTGGTGCAAAGGTCACGAGCCCAGTGTACAAACGTGAACCCCTCTACACAAATGAAGACATCCCCACACATATGTAGGACCCCTTGGTGCCAGCAGGGAGCCCCCACCCTAGGCGGATGAAAGTGATCTATGTAAGTGACCGAACCCCACTGTTCAAAAATAGAATCCCTCTGTGCAAGAGGCTGAACCCCTTCCTGCAATCATCGGGGCCCCACTGACATTCAAGGAGGGTTGAATGCAAGGGAACATCTGGTATGCAAATGAGAACCCGCTAGACCAATGAGAGTCCTTGTGCAAATGAGAAATGCCTCTGTGCAAGAGGCTGGCCCCTTGGAGCAAATATTAGGGTCCCACTGTGCGAATGGGGACTCGTCTGTGCCCAGGAGGAATCCACTGTGCAAATGAGGGTTCCTTTATGCCAATGAGGCCCCCTTTTCTCTACCTGTAGCAGGACCCCTATGTGCATGGGAAGGGGTCTTCCTGGGGGGGAAGTGGGTGGCTTCCTGGAGCGAGCGACTCACGGTGATGGTCTCGGGGCTCCGGCTGTCTCGCATGTTGACGCTCAGCTTGGCCACCCCATCCTCCTGGGTTAAGGACTGCACCTTGGTGCCCTGGACCATGACGGGGACTTGGCCGGCTGGGGAGCCATCGGGGTTCGTCACGAAGACCTGTTGGGGATGGACGAGGGCAAGTGGAGGAGGATCCAGAGGGGTGGAGAGTCAGGGGGCAAGGTGGGTGTAAAGCCCCGTCCAGGGTCTCACCATGAGGTCAAAGGGCATGGCTGGCTTGAAGAACTTGGGCGTCTTGGTAAAATGGATCTGGTAGGGGGAGACCACGATGGGGATCCCGCTGAGCTCCGCTTCCACCATGTCACTGCCTGGGAGGGGCAGGGGCAGCCGTGAGGACAGATGTCTTTTTTCCCCTCAGACTGGGCCTGCCTCCTCCAGCTGCCCCCCTCTGCACACTTGGACCCCCCCCCTGCACACTGCACCCCATCTGGATACGGGGCCTGCTCCTCCCACTGGCTCCTCTCCACCTGAGTCTCTCCCCTAGACTGGGCCTCCCTGTACCCTTCTCAGACCAGCCCCTCCACCCGCAGCCTGTCCCAAGCTGGGCCTCTGTGCTGAGGCAGGGCCTCTACCCTCAGACAGGACTTCCCCCTCGGACTGGCCCTCCCCCCTTAGACTGGACTGGACCTTCCCCCTCAGACTGGACCTCCCTGCTCAGACAGGACTGGACCTGTCCGCTCAGACAGGACTTCCCCCTCGGACTGGCCCTCCCCCCTCAGACTGGCCCTCCCAGCTCAGACAGGACTGGACCAACCCCCTCAGATAGGACTTCCCTCTCAGACAGAACTGGACCTCCCCGCTCAGACAGGACTGGACCACGCCCCTCAGACAGGACTTCCCTCTCAGACTGGACTGGACCTCTCCCCTCAGACTGGACCTCCCCGCTCAGACAGGATTGGACCACCCCACTCAGACAGGACTTCCAGCTCAGACTGGACTGGACCTCCCCCCTCAGACAGGGCCTCCTGCGCCCTGGGACAGGTGCTCCCCTCCGTGCGCGGGCCTCACCCGAGTGCAGGATGACCGTGGCAGACACATACAAGGACTTCCCCACCAGGGCATCAGCCTGCGAGGGCTGCACCCCTTTCAGCAGGACATCTCGTCTCAGCACTGCCTCCCCGACACCGTCCTCTATCTGCGGGGACATGAGCGCTCAGAGGGGTGTAGGGGGCAGGGCGGGGAGGGGGGCGACTCTGGGGCCAGGGGACATGATGGGTGTGTCTGAGAGGGTGAAGAGAGCTGTAGGAAGCTCAGGGGGCGGAGAGGCTCAGGGGGCCCTGGGCCAGGTACCAGGACTCGGCTGAGGGACTGGGTCAGCGAAATCCTCTGGTCGCCGTCCTGCACGCCGAAGATGACGAAGGCCATTCCCTCCACGCTCTTCCCATACAAGAACCTGTGGAGGCCAGGAGGGTCTCAGCGCCGCTCCGCCTGGCCCCGCCCACACCGCCCGCCTGGCCCCGCCCACACCACATGCCCGGGCCCCGCCCACCTTGGCCCCGCCCAGTCCGTGGCACTGCCCCGGTCCCACTCCTCACCGGGCTTTGATGGTGACCGGCAGGCCCTTGGGGTCATCAATGTAGTAGAATTTCTCCGCTGGCTCCAGCTGGACCTCAAAGCTCGGCAGCACTGCGCGGGGAGAGAGGACGTTAGTGGAGCAAGAACCGGAGATCAGGGCTGGGGGCCCCACCCGCAGCGTCATCTCTTACCGTATTCCTTCACCTCAAACTCCTTGGAGAAAACCTGCTGTGGGCTGTCCTCGTAGTGGGCTACGATCTTCCATTGCCCCATGCTGGAGGGGGGCAGGGAGGCCCGGGTGAGTGTCCCACAGCCTGGCAGCCCCCACCGCCCTCTCTGAGGACCCAGGAACCCCAGCCCCCCTCCTGGAGGGTTTGACATACTTCACCAATTCCGGAATGTCCCAAAGCAAGGACAAGATGCCAAACTGGTTTTGAGAAGTCATGGGGTCTCTCTTGACGGGAACGCCATCAGGTGTCTGGGAGCAGACGCAGGAGGGGCGTCAGCGGTCAGCCCAACCCTTTGGCTCTTCCCACCTCTCCTGTCCCAAGCCCTCGCTGCACCAGGAGCAGCCACCCTGAATTCAAATCACGATGGTGCTGGTTGCCAGCGGAGGCAAGCAAGTTCCTGCATCTCTCTGTACTTCATTTGCATATCCTCAAAATAGCGACGATTATTGGCTCAGGGCAGAAGTAACATATAACCATGAACTCATTGTTATCAGTGACCCCGAGGAATAATAATAACTAGCATGGAGTAAGCACTAATTATCCAGACACTATGATAATATAAAGTCTTGGGCTACTAATCACAAGGGTCAGCAGTTTGAAACCCACAGGGGGCATTTCTACTCTGTCCTAAAGGGTTGCTATGAGTCAGAATTGCCTCAGTGGCGGTGAGTTTGAGGGTGTTTTTTGGGGGGCGGGCTGCTAAGTATGTCAGTGAAACCCCGGTGACATAGTGGTTTACACATTGTGCTGCTAAACCGCAAGGTCAGCAGTTGGAAACCACCAGTCGCTCTGAAGGAGAAAGACGAGTCTTACTCCTCCCATAAAGAGCCAGGAGAGAGCTGTCACTGGTCAAGGACCTCGTGCTTGGTAAAGCAGCGGGGCAGCGAAAGAGGGGGGCCCTCAAGGAGAACGGACAGGCCCAGTGGCTGCCACAAAGAGCTCAAACACAGGGGCAACTGTGAGGACGGCACAGGACAGGACGGCATTGTGTTCTGCTGTGCAGAGGGTCGCTACGGGTCAGAACCAACTCGGTCGTACCTAACAACAGCAGCAACAACGAGGTGCAGGCTCCGTAACTCAGAGCCAGTTCCCCCTGCCCAGTAGGGGTCCTTGTGAGTCAGGTGGACTTGGTGGTGGTGAGTTTGTTGGCTTTGTTCAATATGTTAGTAGGCTGAGCCACATGTAGCTGCTTGCGTTGCTTCTTGACTGTGTGTTGTCCAACTTCACACACACGTTCATCAGTTGCCAAAGGTTAAAGGTCAGGAGGCCTCCCTTAAAAACAGGCTCCTCAGGCTCCTCGTGGAAGTCAGGAAGTACTGTGAATGAGCTGGGTGCTGCGCGGCTAACCACCAGGTCGTCAGATCCAGCCCACCAGGGACTCCAAGGGAGCAAGACGTGAGTCGGAATTGACTTGGTGGCGGTGGGTTGGGTTTCGTTTTTGGGGTGTATGTGGTTGGAAGGTCAGCTCTAGGAGGGGCCACAGGGTTTTCTTAGCTGGGGCCTTTACTGATGGAGCTAGATCACCAGGCCTTTCTTCTGAGGTACAGAGGGGGTGAGTTCAACTATCAACCTTGAGGTTAGTAGTCGAGTGCAAACTGTGAACACCACCTAAGCCCAAATGCCAAGCCACTGCTGCGGGGTCCATTCTGACTCCTAGTGAGCCTAGAGGACAGGGTAGAACTGCCCCTATGGGTTTCTGAGCCTCTGACTCTGCCCCAAAACAGACTGCCTCGTCTTTCTCCCATGATCCATTGACCTTTGGGTTAAGGGCCAGACTCTTTAACTGACAGTGTCCCCAGGACTCCTCTGTACCACCCCCAACCCCCAGAGACTGTCTGTTACTTGCTTCCAACCCAAGTCAGTGCTATATCAAGTCCATTCTGACTCCCAGAGACCCCATAGGACAGGGTAGAACTGCCACAGTGGGTTTCGGAGAGTGTAACTCTTTACTAGAGTGGAAAGCCTCCTTTTTCTCCTGTGGTGTAGTTGGTGGTTTCAAACTGCTGACCTGATGGTTGGCAGCTCAATGCAAAACCACTGTGCCACCAGGGCTCCTATGTCACTTGCTTTGTCCTTCCAAATGCTGTGAGGAGGAACGCCCTTCCACAGACGCCCTCCCTCGCTTTTCCCCTCCTCCAGGTCTGGAGGGAGAGGAGAGAGAGAGAGAATTTGAAGGGAAAGGCAGGGTGTGCAGGGCCCTGTGGGCCATGGGAGGACTCTGGAGGACCCGAGCCCTGGAGGGCTGTGGGCAGAGTAGGACAGGTGCCCTCAGGCTGCTGCAGGGGGAACAGACTAGGTAGAATGATCTGTCATTGTCCCCGGTGGCACCGTGGGTTAAGGGCTAGAGTGCTAACCATTGGTGTTTCAAACCCACCAGCCACTCCAGTGCGACAAAGATGTGTCTGTCTGCTCCCGTAAAGATGTATAGTCTCAGAAACCCTGTGGAGCCAGTCCACTCTGCCCAGGAGGGTCCTTATGAGTGGGCTCGTGTTGGGTTATTATCCTCGTCTTCCGATGTGGCTATTGGGACTTAGGAAGGTGAAAGGACAAGCCCAGAGTCACACAGTGTCCACAAGCACTGTGTTGGTGTCTCTGTCTCTTCCTCTTGATCTCCCTCCACCCTCCTCTCTGCCCCCTGGCTCTTGAGTACCTCGATGGTGACAACCACGGTCCGACTCATGGGCAGCAGGTCCTGGTCCACAGAGAAGATTCGGTAGAGGACTGGGGGCAGGGAGCAAAGAAAGGAGACCTTTTATTTAGTATCTGCCTGCTCCATGTACCTACCGCTGTCACCAAACTCCCTGACCTGTGGAGCCCCTGATCTGTAGGGCTCTCACCTGAGAACCCCCTCACCTGTAGAGGCCCTCCCCTGTGGGGCCCCTCACCTGTCGAGCCCGGAGTGTAGATGGTCTTGTCTGTCTGGATGAAGAGATAGCCACTCTGCTGGCTGACCAGCACCACCTTCTTCAGTATGATGGTCCCGAAGGCCGCCTCCACGGTCACAAACTTGTTCCCTTTGGTGGCCTTCAGGTCCTTGGCTGGGATCTAGGCACAGGACCAGGTATTCTAGGGGTCTGCCACGGGCCCGCGCATCCCTACCCCCACACCCCAGGTACTGGAGCTCTGGAACGGAAGGGGCTGTGAGGGCCGGCGCCAGCCCATGCCCACCTTCATGGTGATGGTGCCCAGGTGGCCATTGGCGGGGGTCAGCACGGTGTTCTCGCTGGATAGCACGTGCTTCTTGGCCGGGAAGTCGTGGATGGTGACGGTGACCGGAACGTTCCCTTGCACATCGTGAGCCTCCAGGACCACGATCTCGGGGTTCTCCAGCCGTATCACATTGGGGGTGATCATGGAATACCTGGCGGGAGGTGCCATGGGGCAGCGCTCTAAGTCCAGCCCCCTTCCCTGAGGACTGGGGCAGGCACTTGGGATCTGGAGGGCAGCCAGGGGCCGCTTGGGGTTTGGCCAGCCCTGCTTCTCCATCCGCATTCCTGGCCCCTCCTTCAGCGGGAGCCGCCCCCTCCTCCCCCACACAGTCACCTGACCCCCCACCCCCAAGCCCAGCCTGACTTGAGATACTCGGGCAGGAGGACAAGGCCAGAGGGCAGAACCTGAACCTCTCATGGCCTCTAAACGCCCCAACCCACAAACACCCCCAAATTCGGCCTCTAGGCAAGCCAGGTGTGTTAGGGTAAAACAGGGCGCAGGGCTTTGCCCGGCCGGTTCTTCAGAAGCGGATCACCAGGCCTTTCTCCGGAGGCCCCTCAGGGTGGACTCAAGGGCATTTCTTGTTTCCTCCCCCCAGGGACACCCCCGGCCCTCCCACAATGCAGCTGTCCTTGCTGTTTCCAAGTTTTTTATGCCGCTTTGCTTGGGTCAAAGGCTTACAGGAGTGAGTACCTGTTTGGCTTGCCCAAAGACATCCAAAGGGAATATTTTGCTTTTTTTGTGGGGGGTGGGGACCAAAAAGCAAAAACCAGTCATTCGCTCAGCATTTGCTTTGCAGTGAGCAGGGCGCCCCTTCTGCAGCGGGAGTGGCGCCCCAAGCTCCTTCCCCGGGAACTACATAGCGCAGCCCTAATTTCTATGTGACAGGGTGTGCTTGTCCTATCAGCAGGGCGCTCACTTAGTGTCAAGTGCTCTCTGAGGTGCTAGGTGTTCGCAGGGCAAGGGTTGGGAAAGCCTCCTCAGGTCGGAGAACAAAATTAAGAGTCATTCCTTCTTGGCTTTCAGCCACTTGGGCTTATGCAAGATTTCATTCCTGCAGACCCCCATCGCTCTGTGGACCCGCCCAGACCGCTAACACCCAGTCCTGTAACTATCCAAATCTACACATGGATGAAAACTCTCCGGATTTCAGACCACCAAACCCTAACCCCTATTACAAACCCTAATCCCTATTACACCAGAACCCCTATTACAAACCCTAACTCCTATTACACCACAACCCCCCTCCAAACTTCAAAATCCTGTAACCCAAACCTACAAAGCCCAAGTCATTGCAACCACATGGTACACAAAGCCAGAAACCCTGACCAAACCAAACCAAACTCACTGCCCTCGAGTTCATGCCCGCTCACAGCGACCCTATAGGAAAGGTGGACCGGCCCCTGTTTCTGAGATCAGGAGTAGAAAGCCCTGTCTTGCTTCTGTGGAGCGGCTGGTGGTTTCGAACTGCTGCCCTTGAAGTTAGCCCTACCCCCAAATCTGTAAACATTTAAAGTCCAAACAGAACAGGCTGCAAGCCACGGAATTCCACAAACACACCCCCTGCAAGCAGCCCAACCCATTGGCAGGCCAAATTTAGGGAGTCTCCTCTGCCCATCAGGAGCCCAGGTGGTGCTAACCGGAAGGTCAGTGGTTTGAGCCCACCAGCCACTCCAAGGGAGAAAGGAGAGGCAGTGTGTTCCCATAAAGATGACAGTTTCAGGACCCCTGCAGGGTAGTTCTACAGGATCGAGTCAAAATCTGCTTGACTCAGTGGGTGCCCAGTGTACCCTGGATTCTGCGGGGATCTGGGCCCTAAAGAAACCTTGTTGAGGGGGAGGGTGGTGACTACTCACAGAGGGTCTCCCAGGGCCAGGGGCAGGCTGGTCAGCAGCAGCAGCAGCAGGCTGGGACCTGAGGCAGGTCCCATGGTGCAGGGATGATAGGGGGACAGAGGGACAGAGGGACGGAGGGAGAGGACTGGGAAGTGTGAATGCAGCCCTGGACACAGTCTCTTATCTGCCCTCGGCCCTTTCCCCGCCTCCTGCCCCTCCCTGGGGTGGCCCCAAATTTCTCAATACTATTTCCTAAGTTTTCCAATCCCTGGGGCCAGCATGTCCTGGGGTGAGTGACCTATGGGCAATTCTCCTCCATCGTGAATACCTGCCCCCTGGCCTGGCTTCCTGGGGTCAGGGCCAGTCTGTGCAAGCGAACTTTCCTTATTGCAGCCACTTTGTGATGCAGACATACTGAAGTGCAGGCGGGGGCAGGGAGCAGGGAGGCTAGATTCCTGAGCTGTGCACGCATGCATCATCAAACCTTCCTAGGAATCCTACTCTGTGATGGGAGCTGGAGCCCCAGAGGACCTGCTGGCCTGACTCCTGGAAGCTTCCATGCCAGGGGGAGGGGCAGAGCCCATCACGGAAAGCCCCAGCTCCATGGCAGGGTTGAAAAAGAATTCTGCTTCTTGGAAGGTCAGGGAAAGGTTTGGGGAGGAGGGGATATTTCAGCAGGATATATATTCAGGGGCTATTTCTTCGAAGGATGTATAGGAGTTCCCTTCCAGGTGCACATGCTTTCTGAGGGAAAACAGAACAAGCTACAGTCTTAGAAACCCAGTTCCACGCTGCCCTATAGGGTCACTATGAGCTGGCATCTACTCAATGGAAGTGTGTGTGTGTGTATGTTAGGGTTTCCTTAAAGGCGCTGTGTGGAGAAGTGTCTGAACCTGTATGTGTGCGTCTGTGCTTGTAAATGCATAAGCTCTCACTGGTTATAAACAGACACGAGTATTTGGTTACATGGTCGCATCAAGATGAACGGCCTCGGTGGCGGGCAACAGAGGTGGGAGCAAGGCTACCTTTGGTGGTGGTGTGGTGTAGTGGGCTAGGCGG